GTCACAGTTATTGTAATCTCCAATCGTCTCATTGATAATCCCCCACCTACTGCCCCATAATCCCTGACCCTGGATCTCTCCAACGAATACGTACGACCACCATCAGTGATTCAACAACGTGTTCCTGAAGATGGCATAACGCCGAAACGTTGAACTTTGTAAATGACATCTCTATTTGCGCTGGTAATACATTGTCAATAAAACTATATTACTATTTGATCTACCTGTTACCACCATGCGCCTTATAAAGGAGGAAACTTTTCAACGATATCAGTGGTCATAAATATGTATTAATGATGTGATTTTTAATCAAGTTCACTTCAGAATGAATTTCAATATTTGTCGTAGTTAAAGATGATAAGCGTAATGACATACGACTGGCTACCGACTTTAATGACTCATGGTTGATTGTTTCATTTGTTTTTCATTTGCCCGAATTGCTGTTTCAGTATGAAAATCAGTAGTGATGCTGATGATAGGTTTCGATCGATTGGTCATTCAAACCAGTACTGAGTCTGAATTGAGAATATATTCGAATCGAAAGCTCATTTGAAGATATCGGAACTTCAAAAAATTTTCCAAAAATATCGAAGTTCAAAAATGATATAGGAAACAGGAAGAGAAACGATTCAAAATAAACGGAAAAGTTTTATTTGAAGTATTTGACGATTCTCTCCTGTTTGGGACATTCGACGATAGCTGCAATAAATAGAAATTAATAATAATTGTAATAATAGTAATGATAATAATCATAATAACAATAATAATAACAATAATAATAATAACAATAATAACGGGTCATCTGGCCGATGGCCAGATGACCCTCTTCAATGGCTGCTGTTCCACTGACCGAAACTGAAAAAAGCTGTTCGGTCGGTGGCTCCCAAGTCGCCCGTCCATTGCTGACCACAGACTGATAAGCACGCTTTATCACTGTAATGAAATCGGACTGGAGCTGAGAAAAAAGAACGATTTTCGATGCTTATTGTATAAGATCGAGCAAATTTTAGTTAAAATTTTAGCTGATTTCCGATGCCAGTAGTTAAAAGCAAGAGGGATTAATTGATCGGTGACCTCGCGAAGCCGAACTTCGGTGCCACTGAACAAAACATTTCGATCCGTATCTTAAGTACACGTACACTTTTCGTTGTGACGACAAGTATTAATTTGGCAGTATCAAGAAAGTGGCTATAAATTCAAGTATATGTGTACGTTGTGATCGATGAGTGAATGAATGACGAGCAAATAATTTCAATTATGACATTTATTGAGTGATTCTACCATGCTGATAATATTACTGGTCAAAACGAATGCTAGCTTTACTTGGTGATCTTATCACCTTTTTCTTATGCTATTAATCCTTTTATCTCATTCCTAGCACAGTGATATTCCGTAGTCGAATCCAAATTTTTATTCTTATCCTCAGTTTTATCCGAGCATGTTTGATTCGTTCCGGTCCAATCCCTCCTCTAACTCACCATATTAATTCAGCAGTTTTCCTCCCTCTCTACATCTTCGTTACTTTTCTCATAGACCTTTCAATCTCTTTCTATCCTATATTCAATCCATCCTTCATTCCAATTGTAACCTTTTACAAAAGAATCAAACCGACACATACAATTGTCCAAAAATGAATAATAGAATAATAGTATTGCTTGAACTATAGGTACTGCTTCTGCTTACGTTTTGTTTTCAATTGATACTATTAGTTTGCATTCTATTCGTCCAACTTGTTCATTGGTTTGCTCACCCAAAGGATCAATGGCCGAGTTCTCGCTGTCTGGTTATAGCAGCTTGAATTTTATCGTTGAATTTTGATTCTTATTTCGATCGTTCGTTTATATGTAAAAAGAGCATTTCTTAGGATTAAGATTACTGACTTTTTGATAAGGGGCAGCCGTAGTACCAATAACGATTCGTCATCGTCGTTATTATGCAGACAGCGAAAGCATTAAGCACTAACTCATGTTCTCATTTACATCATAATATCATTGCATTTATGCTTTCAGATTCATATCCTTAAGGCATTCACTCTAATTCAGTTCAATTCGTTTTCATTGCAGGTTTTTTAACTCTCTTTTTCTTCATGCACCATTGATTATTCATTTATTTAGTGCATGACTTTCATTTATTACTTTCTATAACTGCTATAGGAGTGCTGTTGTGTCAACCATAACGACAAGTGATTCTCAGTAATTGCCAATTTCATGCTGAGACGAAAGAAATTCAGCAAAAAAGTTCATGTATATAAGTAATACAACTATAATAAGTAGGTAATACAAGTATAAAAAGGAAAATTTTGAGCATTCACTTCGATTGTAATTGTATTCATTGCTTTTTCTCGCGTTTTTAGTATTTAGTCAGCATTGGCGTACTTTTCAGACTAAATTCGACGATGCTTATGATAATGATGCTGATAATGATAATGACGACCAAGATACTAGCGTGCTTCTAATTGCATTTTCACTACTCCTAATCGTTCGATTGTCTGATATGTACTGCTCTATTTCTAACCGTATCTTATTGATTTGTATATTCAGTTGTTGATATTCATGTGCATCCTTATCAGCATTAATTTATTTCTCATCGTTATTATTGCTATTATAATGATAACAACTAGTAAGAGAAGTAATTCATGCTGTTCGTTCAAATGGCTAAAAAAATAAATGGCTGACTGCAAACGGTGGAAAAGTTTAAAAGTTCTTAAATATGGTCATATTATGGATATGCACATATAATATGCATGTACTAGATGTGGAACTGAAGACTACTGCATTTGAAAAAAATTGTATTAGTGAGAGCGATGAGCAGAAGTTGTACGAATATGGATGAATGTGAGTTGATAAAAAACAGAACACAGATTTCAGCTTACACTAATCTAATTTTGAGCCTTTTAGGCATGAGCCTGGGTTTAGTTCTTAAGTACTAAAGACGGAATATGACATTTTGAACTGGTAGTTTGTGCACATATGCGGCTGTACTGATGAGCATTTTCATCGACGCTTTTGAACAATTGCGGTCATCAAGCTACTCATAAATAAGCTTAACAACTAAACGAATAATCAATCGCTCACTTGTTGATGAATTCACATCGACTGATAGGTTAATAGAAGCAGTATCATTTATTTGCACTTAGGGCATCTGAATCCACATCGCATCATGACAACTATGCATTTACCGGATGGTTCTAAAAAGCGTATATTCAGAAACTACTCGCTTGTTGTTGTGCTGCTATTGCGATGTGCAACTACTGTTCACTTATCCACACTCATTTCTATTCGTTTATATTTTCTATACTTTTTCAACTGATTCACTCAACTGAAGTTCTGTGTCGCTTTTCCCACTAAACTTTTATTCTTCATTGATCTGTTGATTTGTTAATCAGTCAGTTAATTAATCATTCGATTAATGTACGGAACGATGATGAAAGGAAAGAATAAAAGGGAAATAACAGCAGTATGAAAGGGAACCAATAAACAGGTATGGCTGGCATTTACAATATAACTGGTCAATTGGACCGAATAAATGCATTCATGTCGCAAATAATAAGCAGCCAAAACAGCCAGACACTGTTTGCAGTTGGTAGAGTATGCTTACTCAAAATTGCGTTATTTTCAGTTATTCTTGGGTATGCTCTGAAATGAGAATGACAAATGAATCATTCATATGATGTTTCATTTTTCTTCAAATTATGATGGCTTCAAAAATAATTTTTTCCTTATGGAATTGTGAAAGTTAATTTTAAGTCAAGTGGATATCTACTATTTGCATAATAACGCCTAGTTGAAAAGAATGAATGTTTATCTCAAGCGCTTACAAATTTAAAAGAATATCAGTCGTTCAAGCCTCGAAATCAAGAGTTGAATTTAAATAATTGTGATATGCATAATACACTAATTGTGTTGTTGTCGTTTTGATACCGAATGCATGCTGTAGGCCCTTTTTTACATTCACTTCTTCAACGAGGTAGTTTCTAGTGAATATTAGCTGCAAACGAAACCATGAATAATATGGAACTACCAGAGATGCATTACAACCCTTATTGTTCGTTTTTTAGATTGGCTGGTACATGTATCGTGTACATATGTGCATACTAGGGCTGAATATGTGGTGATTTTTTCGGTGTTTCGTCACAAAAAGTGACCTTTTTCACCAAAGGAATTCCCTCGAAATGCGGTACCTCACGGCAAACGATCCTCCTTGTTTTGAAACCTAGCATGTACAAAATATGCCTATATATGTTACAGGTAATCATAGCATAAATATACTATCAACAATGTATCATCCATCATCCAATAGCATAATAAATCCAACTGCTGTTGTTACTCGAACTCTTTTATCTGATTCGTTTGCAAAAACTGAACATGATGTCATCGATGTAACATCCTCCAATATGATCGCTTCTGCTAACAGCAGTGTAATCGCCGGTGATGACGAGCAATATGCGCGTAAAGTATTACGTACGGTATTTAGTGTAGCTTATTTTATACTGTTCGTTTTCGGTACCTTCGGAAATGGGTTAGTGAGTTCTTTATTATTATTTATTATTATGGTCATTACTGTGTGATTACAATACGTGTGTTGTTTAGAATTGTAATTGTGATGATTGTGAATGTGATGACTGTTATGCGCCGTGCAAGATGTCGAACGAATATACGCAAAATTAATCCGAGTAGTACGAAACACGTCTTTATCTATATCCTTGGTTTGATACTGATGATTTTTGTTGGTTTTGCCATTTCTATTGAGAATAGCAACTATGCAATCAATTTAGCCAGATGATAAGGCTGAATTACTTCTTAATGAAGTATTCAAAAAGATACTTGATTTTTTCACTGATGAAAAATCACATTCGTATTGCGAGTCTCCGCCATTAATTTGCTCATTCTCATAACCCATCCAAACAGTTGCTTAGCATACAAGTGAAAAAAAATAATTTTTCTTGGTATTTGACTATTTCAGGACTTTCAGTAGTTGACTTATTGGTAATAATTCATCTACCATTTCTGATTGTCGATCTTCTGTACGGTCAGTGGCTGTTCGGCGTGTTGATGTGTAAGCTGTATTGGTTCGGTGAATGTGTCAATAAATTGTTGAGTAGTTTCATTATGACGATCTTAAGTTGGGATCGTTATTTGGCTGTTTGTTCACCGATTCGATCGTTTAGGTGAGCAGCGGCGAGCCCAACAACACTCTTTGAATCACTAAACAATGACTCAGTAATGGTTCCGTATTCCTCTTAAAATATATCAACACTGAAGCTAGAACTGCTTCAGATATTGATGGATGGATGAATTGGTAAAGTTGCCGATATGCTTCCAAAACGTTAACAGCCAGCAAAAATTTTTCCAAGTCCAAGATCTCTCATATGAATGCCACTGTCTGCGTCCATTGATTACATCGCATCTCTGTTTTGTTGTATTTCGTCTCGCCCTCTCTCTCATTCGTGTCGTACTACATTTTCATTTCGCGTCTACTCAGCTGCATTATTTCTCGTGGTGAATGCATTAAGGTGAACATTATGATATGAATTTTGGTTTATGATTTTGGTGGCCCTAAAGAGGGCCGTTTGGTTTAAGATCCGCTGTTCCTGCCCCATTTCATATGGGGTACATTTCTGCGATTTGCTGCCACAAGTTGTACAAGCAGTCGTTCCCTCCAAATTCTCTTTTCCAAACGAATTCTTCCACATAGCTCGCCAATAACCCGCGATCGGTGCCGAACCTCGATTTGTGTTTCATCTTGAATTTTTGCCACATCGACTCCACTCCGTATGTACACGCCCC